AGGTGTGTGACTTCACTCCAAGAGTGTGAGACTGCAGGTGTGACTCCACTCCCAGAGTGTGAGACTGCAGGTGTGACTCCACTTCCTGAGTGCTGAGACTGCAGGTATATGACTCCATCACTGGGGTGTAAGACTGCAGGTGTGACTCCACTCCTGGAGTGTGAGACTGAAGGTGTGTGACTCCACTCCCTGAGTGCGGAGACTGAAGGTGTGTGACTCCACTCCTGGAGTGCTGAGACTACAGGCGTGACTCCACTCCCCGAGTGCCGAGACTGAAGATGTGGCTCCCCTCCTGGCTCACATTTTCCTCTTACATTCTGCCATCTCATCAGACATCATACATTTTACCAAGTGAGTCAGGTGAGCCGATTGTCTTTCTGTAGAAGCTAGCTGTCTTTCTAAATCCTGCCATTTGGGAGTGCCTTAAAAGAAGGCTGGAGCTCTGCTATATTTAAAGGATTTTTTCTACACTGACCTTACTAGTAACTCACTCTGGATTCTTTAAAGAGACAGTAACACAGGTGTTGGAAAGAACACGAAATGCCCAGGGTCCTTTCTGGGGTTTGAGGAATGTTCATGAATTGGAGGCTGTTCTACAGGAGACAAGGTAGTATTTGGAGGCTGTCTGGGTTCATGGCTATCAGCTCCTTTACGTAATGTTCTAGAGGCCAGAGCAACTCCTGAGGAGTTTCTTCCACTTGCCAAAAAGGAGCCATTTTTTTTTAAAAACTTTTATTTAAAATAAACCAACAAAACCTCTATTAAGTACCATAATACTAGTCTCCCAGGAAAGGTTTAGTACTACAAAGAAATTTACACACTAGGAAGATTAGGAGGAGCTCGGAGGAAGATTTCCTTCCCTTCCCAACTGAGAAACTCTCAACTTTCTTCAGCGAATGTCTTCAGAGAGACGTGGTGTGCAGCTGACACAGGACTATGGAACAGCAACTTAAAAACGGATGCTTTCACATTTTACCCTCTTGATAATTTAGAAAACAATGTTTTAAAAATGTGTTCACGATTTCAAAGTGCTTAACCCTTGCTCTGGGGGTAATCTACGGTGAGCAGCTCCTTCCCTGCGAGGCCAGCTTTGAAGGAAGCCCCAAACCACAAGCGCTTCTAGCACCTGGTCGAGTCTTCCGGAGCAGGGTGACAAGGTTTTTTTCTCCACGGATGCCCAGTGATGTCACTGCCAGCAACTCACACTTCTTATACTCCGGAAGTAGAAAACAGAGAGGGCAGCCAGCCAGAACAGAAGAAATCGGAGCGATTGTGTTGTCAAAGGGACAGACACGAGAGCACATTCATACCCGGAGAGGTTAGGAGGGAGAAGGGCTGTTCTGAGGACAGAGCCACACATCCAGCCAATCAGAGGGCTGCAGAGTACAGCCCATGCTATGGAAGAGTCCCCATTACACCAGCTTCCACTTCCCTGGGCCAGTGGATGGGAGCAGAAGTCAGTGGTGAACCATCTTCTGGGGAGCTATCAAGAGCAAACCCATCTCTTTCACACGCCCCAACCCTGTTTTTTTTAGAACATTCCAGGTGAGTCCTGAAAAAGTCATGCAGCACCTACAGTGGGTGTATCTCCAGGGTTACGGGGAGTTAGAGGAGTCTCTAACAGATAGGGCGCTAAAGTCATGCTCTTTCCGTTAGGACCCTCGGTGGGTACTGGCAGTGCTGGGTGGATGGGGAGCGTGCTGATTAGATGGCCTGGAGGATCGGCTGGTTGCATGAGAGGAGTCCTGGATAGACGGCTGAGGACTAAGTCTACTGTCAAAGCAGGAGCAGAGACAGTCAGGGTCCCCTTCGCTGAGGACCATAGGGAACCTTTCCTACTTTTCACCGTTAGAAGTTGTATGAGCATTGGAGCTTTAGGATAGTCTGGGGAGGGGAGAGACGCACGGGGTAACAGGTGGGTCTGAGACACAATTTTAACTTAGCTTCTGAAGTGCATGTAGGGGTCTTCCTTTTCTTTGTGCTGAGGAACTCTTCTGACTGTTCTAGTTTTTGTGTGTGGCTGCCCAGGAAACATCGCATCAGGGCTCTCCCCTTGGGACCGTCCTTTCTCAGCCTTGGGTCTCAGAACCAGGTCCAGGCAGAGGGCAGACAACTGTCTGGGCTTGCATTTTAATATACCCTCCGTTCTGCCCCTTGGCCTTGGACGAGGCTGTGCAAACGCTATGGAGGGATTCTCTTTTGTTATAGTTTATCCTTATACAATTCAAAAGGGGAAACAGGGTCAAACACTTTGCCTGCGTAGGCACCTGCCTCTTGAAAGTGCCCAGGTTAGAGCCCCCTTGAGGTTTTTAGTTCAAAAGATCACTGATACAGCTAAAATAGCATCTCGTTGTTTTACAGTCATACTGAGAAAGCTAGAACCACACTGGGATGCTTTGGGAATTTTAACTGGTGTAGCTGACCCACCCACATCAAGCGCTTACCCTGGGAAGAAGATGTGGTGGGCATATTTTAAACCCACCCTGAAAAGCATCACAGGTGAGAGGCTTAAGAAAACTCCAGATTACTGCAAGCTGGGAGGTTTAAGGTCAGCGTCAGCACCGGCAGTGTCTCAACAGACTCCTTTCAAGTCAGACCTGGAAACATTTTAAACCAGCCATTACCGACCGCGGAAGCACCTCTTAAGACTCATCTGGTCTCTCCTAAAATCTTCCAAATCTTTGCACCTACCGCAGGGTAATAGCCCGCAGGGCTATAGGGGAGACTGGGATAAGGAAAAAGCCCTCCCTCTCCTAGCTGCAGCGAATAGGAGCTTGCCAGCAGAAGTCGCTGCTGCGTGGGCCCTTTCACCCGCTGCGCGTTCATACTGACGAGCATGGTCCTCCCTCCTGTTCTTCTGAGTCCTGAAAGTACTTTTTTTTTTTTTCTTTTTAAAAATCCGGTTTCTTAAGCCACACACGGATGAGTCCAGGGGAGCTGTCAGCCTGCTGATCCATTTCTTTGGAATTCTACTTGCATGATTTTCCATATTTAATGACAGTCTACCAGCAGGATAAACACACAGGCAAGGTTGAATCATCTTTCCTCTCCCCTTGGATCGGGAACCCAATAAAACAGGTGCAGCAAGCAGGTGGGAACGCTGGTGAGCAGGATGTTGCTTATGCCGCACTTCTAACGCTTGAGGTCCCCAAGGGGGGGTGTGGGGAGGGAGGATGGGGGACACTTCAGCCAACTGAGGCTCATCCCTGTAATGTCAGTGGGCCTCCAGAGAAGGGGTACAGTGCGGGGCACCTGCCTGGGAGCAGTTCCCCCAGGAACCCTTTCGGTCAAGGCTAGAAGGAAGAAGCGTTTCCCACAGGACGAGCTGAGCGTGCTCAAGAAGAAGCACGCCGCTGCGCATGCTCAAGGAGAAGCACGCCGCTGCTTTTCTCGAGGCTTGTAGACTCTCCACAGTTCGGTCTGGAAACGAAAGAACTGATCACACATCCTACAAGCGCGGTTTGCTCTTCTGGCTGGAGGAGAGGGAGGGAGACCTGAAGATTCTCTCTTTAGGGCGATCTAGAGAGCACAGAAATTCCCAGATTGGATGACAGTCACAGCAGAGAAGAAAGGCCAGGCCTTCTTCCAAAGCGACAGATAGAGATCAAAGTACACGAAGGGGCCCTTGGTGGAAGGTGGCAGAGAATGCGTTATGAAACGTGTACATACACTTTCATCTCGGGTCACAGCTGGCTTTGCAGAAATTTCACAACGTATCCAGAACAGGGAGGGACAAGAAACAAACCAAAGGACTTGGATTTTCAGAGGCCTTTGGGACTTCTGATTTAAAGACAGCAGGGATAAGGCGTTTACGCTTCTGCCCCTGCTTGGAAGCCCACTGACATCAACAATGAAGGAAAGAGTGCTGTTCTCTATGGGGTCAAGGCCACATCCCCAATGTCCATGCCCTAAATCCTTCCTCCCCATCCTGCAAGGATGGTGAGAGGGTGAGGGCTTGTCTCAGGTCTCAGGTAGGACAGGGATTCCTTAAAGGTGAGGAGAACCATGCATTTTAGGACTAGGTGGTCACTAAGACAGACAGCTCATCCCTGTAGAAGACAGACAGACTCTGAAGAATATCAGGGAAGCCAGATGAGGGCAAAATCACATCACCAATTCCTTCCAGGCCAGAGGCCAGCTTCTGGCGAAGGGGCCTGCCTCAGGGGAAGTGGGTGAAAGTGGCAGCCTCTTTAAGCATGCTGTCCGTAGCTATGATAAAGCACTGTGACCCAAAGCAACCTGGAGAGGAAAGGGTTTATTTCAGCTCACAGCTTACAGTCCGTCATGAAGGGAAGTCATGGGACTCAAGGCAGGGACTCAAGGCGGGAACCTGGAGGCAGGAACTGAAGCAGAGACCGTGGAGGAACAATGCTTACTGGCTTGCTCAGTTTGCTTTCTTACGCAACCCAGAACTATCTGCCTAGGGTGTCACTACTTGCAGTGGGCTGGGCTCATCTCCTTCAAACGTTGATCAAGAAAACGCCCCCATGAACTTACACGCAGGCCAATCTAATGGAGACATTTTCTCAGTTGAGGGTCCTCTTCCCAGATGACCCAAGTTTATGACAATAAATAAATAATAAATAAAAAAAACTAACCAGCACATAGCCTATGATTTTAAAATGCTTTACTGAATGGCATGGACCACAAGCCAAAGGGAATAAATTTGATAAAACGTGGATTTGAGAGAAGAAACCCGAGCACAAGTTCCAAGCTCTTCTGTCTGTCCTCAGCGAATCCTCAGCAAGCAGCTAATTTCTTGAAAAGTGAGGAAGGAACAGAAAAGAGCCCACACAAGACTTAAGGATATTCTTGCAAAGAAAGGAGGCATATGACTTATAAGGGGGCACAAGCATAAGACATCTTGATTATGTTTGCAGCATCCAGGATGCTTCCCACGGGTGCGTCTGGTGGTGCCAAATGAGAGCATTATTTCTGTTGTGAAAAAAATAGACTTGGTCACGGACTCGAGTTAGCCAAGTAAATATTTTCTTGGCAGTGTACAACATCAGTGCAAAATGCCTATTATGCATAGTCTATAATTATAGCATTCAATTAACATTCTCAAGTGATTATCATTTTGGGCATGGTGGCTGGGACTTGGGAGATGTGAGTCCTGCCTGAGATTTTTGCCTAGAAGCCGCAAGCTGATATTTGAGGTGGGGGCTTGGTACAGACACTCCAGGGGGAAGGATGCCAGGGAAGTGGAGATCATGTCCCGTCCACATCTTAACCTGTAGCACCTTGTTGCCCAAATGACTCGGTGAGGCTGGGCTTTGTGTAACACATAGTTTCCCATCTAAAAGATCCTTCCCAGTACTGGTTTACTTGGTTCACTTTGGGGTCACGTGAAATTTTGACAATCTTTCTCTTCCCCAGAGTTTTATAAGGTAATATAGAAGGAAAAAAACCCAATATATGTAAAGAATAGTTAAAACTAAACACAGGAGGACAGTGCTTAATTTAGTGCCTGTGATGAACAATTGGTAATTAATGATCAAATTTACAACACCCTGTGAGAATAAGGATATATTACTTTTGTGGTTTTGTGACAAAATACCTGATGTAAAAGACTTATGGGAAAGAGAGATTTATATTGGTTCCTGGTTTCAGAGGTATCAGTTAGTCATGGTGAGGAGAACATAGCAGAGCAAAACAGTTCACAACTTGGTGGTCAGGAAGCAGAGAAAGGAGACTATAGAAGTGACCAAGACCTCCCGCTGATCTATTTCTTCCAAAAAGACCCACCTCCCAAACCTAAGACCTTCCAGAACCTTCCCAAATAATGCCACCAACTGGGACCTAGACAATGGGTCTGTGTGGAGCAATTCACATTCCAGTCATAATAGTGGCATCATTCCCATTTTACAGAAGAGATGACTGACTCAGAGAAGTTATGTCATCAGTAGTAGGAGGAGTCAGGATCAGAACTCAGTTCTTAGAGAGTGAACTGGTTAGCACTTAAGGAGTCAGAGCATCCCTCAGTCAGAAATGCCTCTTAAAATAACCTATCTGCTGCAATACTTTGATGAGGTCCAAGACAAAAACATGAATATATGCATTTTATTCCACTCTCATGCAAAAATCTCATTAAAATAGCCAAAGAGCTATAATAAGAGGGGCAAACATAATGTGCTCAAAAATGGGGAAGGGTGTACTTCACTTACTAGACATGGCAGGGACTTTTTGGAAGTTGAAGCGGATCGTGGCTGGGCTGATCAGGAACGTTTGGCAACTGCTAGCATCTGTTCATTTCTGAATGATCTACCCATGGTGTGTGTGTGTGTGTGTGTGTGTGTGTGTGTGAGAGAGAGAGAGAGAGAGAGAACAGAGCTGCCAGATGTGCATCAGAGCGAGGTTACCTACGGGTACCTTTGTGTCAGGCCTTGGCGTGACCGGGTGAGTACTCGGCAGTCACTGGCTTTTGTGACTGGCAACCAGTAGGTGGCAGAGTCAGGCCTGGAATCTCTTCGCCTGGGAGTTTGACCCTAGTGATGTTCAGCACCCTGGGAAGAGCTGGAAAGCTCCCTGCAACCAGTATTTTCGTGGGATGTTAGTGAAACTCAGCTTTGACAAACAGTAGGGAAGCATTTCCGAGGGCATGGAAAACCCAGAAGAGAGAGGGACCGTATGTGTGTGTGTGTGAGTGGTCGCCTCAAGAAGGGTGGTACTGCTGGCACTTAAAGCTGACACATAACTGTCTCAGGCACAGTGATGGGAGCCCGGGAAAGACATGGGGTAGAGTAGGAATGCTTGAGGAAGTGGATGGGGCTGGCAAGACACAAGTGGTCAGGTATCTGGGGTGTCTGAGCACAAGAGAGGTTGGGGAGGTATTTCCCCCTGCTTTAGAGTGTCCATGGAGGCAGTTCTGGAAGAGGTTGGGATTGTTGAACATTCCAGTTAAAGAAAACCCTCATCAAAAGACAGCTTGTGTGGCTTTGGACTTGAATCTACGGTGCCAAGTCTAATGAGCTCCCATCCCTGGGTCTCAGCAAATAGGACATGGAAGCTGAGAAGCGGATGGCCACATTAGTACTGACTATTCCTCCCGGGCATAGTCACCCATCTGCACCCTCTGGTGATGACGTGATCTAGTTGTGGTGTGGTGCTTGGGAGGCACAGAGCAGCCTGGTACTGGAAGTCCGGAGCTCAGCAACTGTAAATGCAACACTGGGTTTTTATTCGTTTAATCCTGTTCCAACCGGATGCTTCTCCCACTAGCCAAGGATGGCCCTCTGGAAAAACGAACACACGGAGAAACAAACCCATCTACATTTCATCTGTTTGGCACGTTAAAACGTGCCCATGGTATTCCCACTGGCCAAGCGTTCTCAGGCCATCTCATGTCATGATTTAGTATTTCCTCCGTCTGAATCTGCTTTTCTCGCCATCTCCCGAATTGAGTTATCCTTCAACACTTAGCTCAGCTGTCAGCTCTACCCTTGCACACACCTGTCACGGAATGCCGTCATCTCAGGTTGCAACCACTGGTACATCGGTCTCTCTTCCTGCTTAGGGAGCCTACAGGGGATGGGGCTGTGTCTTATTTCTCTTTGCTTACCACTTAGTGGATAATAAACCTGAATGAATGTTTGCTGAAGATTTCCTTGACGCAGAACCCACGAACTATTTGGAGGAAAATGCATTTTTGCATTGTTAGCTTTGAGACACACGTCCATTCTTGGTTTTGAGTCTCTCTATCCTAAAAAAAGCAAAATAAAGTCTTTAGATGGTAAATTTTCACAATTTCCTCGCTTTGCCTTCCATTCCCACCCTGGACTCATCAATGCTGTTTTTGTTCTGGGATGTGGATACAAGTAAGAGTCAGTCTCTGGGCTCAGATTGAGTGATGTGACACACCTCCATGGCAGTTAATCAGAGGGAGGAACCATCCAGGCTTTGCGTATTTGAAAGGTCAGGGTTCCCTTCCTGCCCCAGTAGATGTCCTCTGATGCTTGCTATCCAAAGAGTTGCTCCAGTAATTGGATCAGGAGGACAGAACCATTGGATTGGGTCCCCACAATAGGTACAGAAACATGTGGAAAACTGTGATCCAAGAGTCAAGGCACCCAGGTTCTTGCATAGGTTTTATTTGTGTATATTGTGTGTAGTGTGTACTCTCCCTTTCTCTCTCTCTGTAATGTATAAGTGTGTATGTCTATGTGTATGTTTGTATATGTGTGCATGTATGTGTATATGTGTGTAGGTATGTGTATATGTAAGTGTGTGTCATGTGTGTGTGTGTGTGTGTGTGTGTAGGTTAGAGGTGTTTTCCTTTGATTACTCCCACCTTTTTTGTTTTGAGACAGAGTCTCTCCCTGAACTCTAAACTCATTGATTTGGCTAGGTGGCTGGCAAAGTAGCTTCAGGACTTTGTCTGCTTCTTCCCATCCTGGCTAGTGCTGGCATTGTACATGTATGCATGCAACCACACCTGGCTTTTCACATGATTCGTGGACATCCAAACTTTGGTTCTCATGCTTTTGTGGCAAACAACTTCATGACTAAGCCAGCTCTAGCCCCGTGGTGTGAGGTTTTTTTTTTTTAATCAAAATTTGCATGATTTTGGGCAACATGCTCCCTCTCCTTCGGACTCAGCTTCTGTCCACACAGAAAGCAAAGGTGGAGAAACAATCTAAGTTTCCTTCTGGGAAGCTTGAATCTTATTATGCAGCTTGAAGCAGGGCCTGAAATCCATCAGCAGGAGGACTTTGATTGGAAAGATACCCCACGGCCCACAAATTGGACCTTCCCCTTCCCCAACTGTGTGATTGGCATCTCATCAATAAGGTCCTAACATCTGGCTTAGAGAATCAGAACACTGTCTCTTCGCTGACTGTCAGAACTGCGCTGCCAATCGTTGAAAACTGTTTTACTGTTTAAATGGAAGTCTGTGAGCTGGACCAACACCGTGGCCTCAGAAAGGTGGGGCCGGACTCTGAGCACAGGGAGGCGAGTCTGTTTATTTGTTTCCTAATTCTAATTAGAGAAAGGGAAAGAGTGTCAGGAGTCTTTAGTGATTCACATCTTAATAGCTTGGTTATAATTTATTAATCCCTTTCATCAAATTTTCAGCATCCCTTTCCCCAGGAGCCTAAGGCTGACTCAAATGTATTTATTGTTTCGAGGTGGGGTGTCATTAAATATTTGGCACCTTCTAAAGCTGTTGGGAAGCAGGACCATATACCATGTGCTGGCGCACAGTTTCTGAAGGAAAAGACATAGATTTAAAGGGCATTGGGAAGAATGGGCTATATGCATGTATCTGTCTCAAAATCCCTATGACCTCACACCTTTCTAGATCTGGCAACGCAGGAGCCTCCATGCCACGTTTGCCTGCAATCTGCTGTTGCTGGCCAATCGGTGTTTTTCCTTGGAGTGACTCCATCAGCACTCACACCCAGCGTGTGGTGCGGTCTGCTCACTCTGGTTCACACCAGGATCGTGGCGCCGTTATTAATGGTTTATCATCATAGAAACGGAGGAACTTCAGTGGTCAAAATACCAGTAAGTGGGCAGGTGAAATAACTCGAAGTGACAACTTCTCAAGATGGGGAGGGCCCACTGTCTGTCTTCTCCAGGGTCTCAGTAGTTACCTGTACGTGGTTGTAACCACAACATCTCTCAGAAGCAGCTTAAGGGATGAAGGACTGGTTTTTTGGTTGATGAGTTCAGAGAATTTCAATCCATCATGGAGGGGAGAGCTTGGCGGAGGCAGCATGTGGCAGAGTCTGTTCATGTTACAGAAAATCTGGAAGCAGGGAGTGAGGCTTGAAACAGGGGCCCACACTTAGTGACCAGTGAGGCTTCACTTCAAGAAGGTTCCATAGCTTCCCCCAAACCATCTGGGGAACACAAACTCAAAAGCTGAGCTTGTCGGGGGTGATTCAGATTTAAGTCTCAGAATTTCTGGTAAAACCCGACCTTCACAGACAGAGTTTGTGATGCAGCCCTTCTGATAGGGAGGGCTTTCCTTTCTCAAAGTTCTTCATCAGGTTGATGGGTATAAGGAGGTGGTGGTTCAGTTGCTCAAGTGCTTGCTGAGCAAGTGTGGGGACCAGAGTTCAGATCCCCAGAGCCCACATTAAAAGCTGACTGTGCTGGCTCACTTGTATCCCAGTGCCAGGGAGGTAGACCTGTTCGTGGTCAGGTGCCTGGAACTCACTGACCAAAGAGTCTAACCAAATAGGTGAACTTCAGGTTTAGGGAGAGAGTCATCTCAAAAAAAAAAAGTGATAGAGGAAGGCATTAACTTGTAGTTTCCATGCTCACACACATGTGTATGCACGTGTGCGCGCGCACACACACACGCACACACCCACAGGGATAGAGACAGAGACAGAGAGAGCACTTAAATGTACACAAACGGCAATGATAACAGTATTTTTTAAAAAGGAAATTCTTTGCTGGGCTGTGCTAAACCCTTCTTTACTCTCTCTGAGGTCTGCAGTTTTCCCAAAGGCATTCTTAGCCTCTGGACAGCGATTGAGAGCCTGATTCAGGGTGAGGTCAAAGGAGGACCAGTCTGGAAGTTATCCACAATGCTAGCAGCTCCAGATGCCTTGCCTTGGGCATGGGAGTAGGTCCCTGGGGTGCAGTGGAACAATAATTACTCATATTTTAATGGCTGGAATATGGTGCATCGCCACTCAAACTCATGTTGAGGTTTGGTCTCCAGTGTAGCAACGTTGAGAGGTCTGGGGGGATGCTCTTTGGACCTTCAGAACTGTAAGCTAAACACAATTTTTTAAAAAAAATTAAAATACTTAGCGTGAGGTATTTTGTTGTAAGCAGTAGAAATTAGACTAGCCCACACGTGACATCTGATTAAGAAAAAGAACCCTTTATATACTCTCACTTAGTTTATTGAAATTCTAAGATAGATTTTTTTATAACAGCCAATGATGTCCATTTTTAATACTCATTTCTGTCTCACTGGACTCCTCATTAGGAAGGAAGTAGTTGGACAGTGCTGAATTTAGGGTTTTCCTGGTTCCCTTGGCTGAATCCCATTTTCATATTGCCTTTCAGGATGATGACTTTCAAAGCTGTAGACCTTGAGGGCGGAGCCCTTACCCTCCCCTCCCTCGGATTGCCTCTGAGCTATCACATGCATGTTTGAACACACATTAACATTTGAGCTTACCTGGTGACTCAGTGGCCTCGGTCATGGCACCATCCGTGTGTTTGGGCTTTCTGATTCTGAGTTCTTCTATTCCTTGAGGGGATGAAGAGGTCATTTAATTCCCTTGGTCCTATGATGTAGGAAGTCCTTCTGTATATTTTATTGTTTTGTTGGTTATTGAATAAAGAATCTGCATTGGCCTGTGGTAGGTGGAATATATCTATGTGGGGAAAACTAAACTGAATGCTGGGAGAAAGAAGGTAGTGAGAAGCCATATAGCCCGGCCAGAGACAGATGCTGGAACTTTACCCGGTAAGTCACAGCCTTGTGGTGATACACAGATTAATGGAGATGGGTAATTTAAGATATGAGTTATCCAGAAATAAGCTTAAGCTATTAGCCAAACAGTATTGCAAATAATATGGATTTTGTGTGATTATTTCGGGGCTGAGGAGCTGGGAACAAACAAGCAGTCTCTTACAACAGTCCTGCATTTATTTATCCAGTAATGATCTGGATTTCTTCCCTACCCAAATAATCCTGGTAGAACACGGTCTTCAGCATCCACATCAGCATGACTCAGGAGTTCCCACTCCAAACCCAGAATATTCTTCCTTTGTGAGTAGTAGGCAATGCTAAACCTTAGATATTACAGCCTGTAAGTGCCGTACTCATAGTCGCTCCTCAGACTGGAAACAAGTCCCTCTGAAGAGCTGTTCCAGCTCCACTGACCCTTTGTAGGGACCATTTTCATGGATGGATCCAGCATACATACCAAATACCTGGCTTCCAGCCATCCTGATGACCGTCCACTGAAGGACCCCAAGGTTTTCCAATGGCCCCAAACCCCACATCTGGAGTCTATGCACATCTCTCCATTTGTCCACTGAAAATCAAGTGCTCACTGGGGATGCTCATCCTGGCCTTCCAGAAGACAGTGGAAACCTTACAAGGTAGAAACCTAGGGAGCAAAGTGCTGACACCAAACTTCCCATTATGTGCAGCATTTCACTTGATCAATGGGGATGGGAAAGAATCCATGTTGAATTTCTTCCTGATCGGATACTGTGCCTGATGTTGTCCAGCCATTTATTTCCAGGAGAATTCACAACAGAACATGATATTTTGTCCTAAAGTCAGCTAAGATGAAGATTTGGTCTTTAACTGATACTGGTTATTGTTATTGAAATAACTATCTGCCCATATAACAGTGACCTGAATCCTAAGCATACTACATAAGTTACTTTTAATGCTTACACTCCATGAAATTATATTGAATATTGGTGATAGTGATAACAAGCTATTTTTTAATAGCTACTTTATGTATATGGATGTTTTGACTGCATATATGTCTGTGTACCATGTCTGTGCCCAAAGAGGTCTTCAGAGCCCCTGGGACTGGAGTTGTAGACAGTTTTGAGCTTTCATGTGATGGGAGTCTAATCTGGGTCCTCCAGATGAGCAGCCCAAGTTCTTAGTCTCCGAGCATCTGTCTATCCGCGATGACAAAGTATTGTGCTGAGATCTTAAATCCACGAGTCCTTCATCAGCTTTTCCCTCTGTCTGGCATCAGCCCAGCCAGCTCTAGGAGCAGGTCTGTGTGATGGCTGATCTTGACTGACACAACTGGGGACTGTCTGTGAGGAGGATAATTCCAGAAACGTTTAACTGAAGAAGGAAGTGGGTGGCTGGGAACTCAGGCTGAATAAAAAGGAGATGGAAGGCAAGCTAAGTGCCAGCATTCATTTTCCCTGCTTCTTGTCCATAGAAACAATGTGAACAGAAGCACCAGGCTCTTGTTCCACATGTTCCCTGCCATGATAGACTGTATTCCCTGGGAGCTATGAGCCAACAGAGGGGGAGCAGTTCTGACTCCAGAGAAGGCTGTAGCAGCAGCTCTTCCCGCTTCTGTGAAGTAGCCCAGACTACATCCTAAAAGAAAGGCCTAACTCTGTGCCCCTGGGTAAACTGAGGCCTATACCAGAAGACACCCCAGATCCTTGAAGGAGTTGCTGTTCCCATGAACAAAATAAAGGAAAGACATTCTCCAAGGAAGTAACTCAGAATGCACGATTGTTCTCCTAAACTGAGGGTGAGTTGAAGCCCTGCCCCTCAAAGTTAGCAGTGTATATGCGAGGGGGGAGTGTCTCGTAAACCAGAGTAGTCTCGGACTCTTCTTAGACCACTAGGGTCATAGAGAACATGAGTTCAGAGCAGCAAAGTGGTCTGGTGGGGCCCGCTGTGTGGAAGAAAGATTTTAGGTTTTTTTGTTGTTGTTTGTTTCTCCCATGGAAAGCTCTTGCTGTGGCCCAGAAGTGGAAGGGAGCTCCATTCTTGAACTGGAGCCAGGCCAGGGATGGCTCTCACTCTTGTCAAACTTATACTCTTTCTCCACAGGATGCCTTGGGCATCTATATTAAGGGCACTTGGACAGGCAGGTGAGTGTGTATCACCTTTCTGTCATCGTTATCTCAGTGCTGCAGGGGAGCGGAACCCATCACCTAGGTCAGACCAGGGCTGTCTGTGGGTAGAGTGTTTCAGAAGGAATGGGGAGGGTGGCCTGCCTCCCCATCAGATGGTCTCCAGCCCACAGGCTCCCAAAGTTTGGACTTTTCCAACTTAAGTGGTATAGTTGTAATCATTGAGAAGGAAAACCTTGCTTGATTCTTCACAGGGCCTTTTCTTTATTTCTCGCCTCTTCCCCTGTGTCTAAATCTGAACCCCTGTGTCTAAATCTGAAACCAACAAGCGGGCTGCTCGGCTTGTTCTCCTCGCAGTTCCTGGGCCTATCGGACCGATTGTAGCTTCAACCTGCAAATATGTTCAGCCACTTGGTATAAACAGTCTCATAAGACAGATTTATTCAGTGGGCAAGGCAAAAGAACTAAGCACCCTCCCCCACCCCACCAAATCCCTAAAATCACGCATCCTAAATTCGAAGTTAAGACAAATGTCCTCGGACTTTACTGAGCAACACTGGCTATCAGGCGATCTTAGGCAACGGTTTCTTTATGAACCTCTTCCCAGAAGTTTCTAATATACAGAGCATAAAATCAAGACTACCTGGGGATCAGTGTGACCTTCACATCTCCCTCCTGGGATCATATCTCTCTAGAAACAGACATGTAGTTCTCTGCGTCCATTCCCCCATTTCTCATATATAACTCTGAGATACTTTTAACAAATACTTAGAACATGGGGCCAAACCATGCATCAGATAGGACATCCCTAGAAGTGGAGAGAAAAATGATGCTGATCCCAGCCATTTGGACTCGCTCAGTCTGCAGAGCTGGTTTGTCAGGAAGAGTCCTTTGACGTCCCTCAATCCCAGGTCCCTATCTCCAGGAAGCTGCTATGTGTGGCTGGCCTATTAGTTTGAGATGAACTTGCTCCCTGGAAACTGCAGATGAGTCCTGACATGTTCATATTTCAGGTTGTCTTTTGATTTTGGAAGAACAGGACACATGCCGAGCATGCTGGGATTGGAGCATGGGGTTTGTCCATCTGGGGAGGTGAGAGGGCGCTGCCGGGAAGTGGGGAAGTGTTTGCAGCTCCAGAACAAGAGTTCATTCCCTCAGCACGAGCCTAGAGTGCTTAGGGCTGAAATCAATCAGAGCAGGAAGGAACAAAAGGCGAGGGAGGGCTCTACATAATTTGCATTTTTCCTCTGCAGCAAAGAGAGCATGTTTGTTTCATACTTCTGTGGACTGATTAAAGCAGGAAGGACCACAGAACGAAGGCTTGCTAGGGTGGGTGGTAGCTAGTCTGGGGTGCCTGACTGCAGTCATGACACATTGTTCTTGGATGACCTGTAGGGAGTCTTGGCCTTGTTAGCCACCTGATTGGTAGGAAAGAACACAACTTTTTAGCTCAGAATAGAGAGTGGGTGGCTGCTTAAAAGAGTAGTCATAAAGGCTGCCCATCACGATGGGCGCATGTGGAACCAAGTGACAGTGGTGGAAAGGGACGGGGGGACAGAATTACCAAGACACTGTGTGAGCTGTTCTTAGGATGTATGACCTTCTCTCGTATGGCTGAGAGTTATGACCCTGACCGTCCTGGCCACGAGCCTTTGGAAAAACTGGAGAGAAACAGAAGCCCCTAGAGCCAGTGGTTCTCAACCTGTGAGTCGTGACCCTTTTGGTGACTGAGCAACTGTTTCACAGGGGTCGCCTAAGACCCCTGGAAAACACAGGCATTTATATTACAATTCATAACAGTAGCAAAATTACAGTCCTGAAGTAGCAATGAGAATGTTGTTATAGTTGGGGGTCACCACAACATGAGGAGCTGTATTAGAAGGTCGTGGCACTAGGAAGGTTGAAAACCACGGATCTAGAGTATACTTGGTGACATCTGTAGTGGGGATAAGTCAAACCATGCTTGGGTTCCAGACCACATAAAGGGCGGGCTGGGAAATTCTGGTGCCCAAGTGGCGAGCTAAGCCAAGACCCTTGCCCTTCTGGGTCTTCTCTCTCAGATCCTTGCTTGACCTTCCCGTCTGCTGGAGTAGTGAGCTGCAAAGCTTCTGATGACTCTTCAGAGGCTGGTGGGGACCACGAATGGCTCAGATCAGAGATAGAAGGGAGGAGTGACTTAGGTGTGCCGCCTAAGTTTTAGGGAGTGGCCTGTTTCCTCGCCCCATGGGGCCTTGCTTCAGGAAAAGAGTTAGTCACCTGAAACTAGTCAAGGTTTATCCATTAGTTCAAATAACCAGGACACTCTACTGTAGTCTGGGCCACAATTACTTCTGGGGACAGTACATATTCACCTGCCTTTATTCGTTCTTCGTAGCAAGCAGCTGCCCAGATTCGGGAGTTCTGAGCCTGGCTTCCCCGGGCAGCGCTAGCTGTCTTCAGCAGAGGTGGTCCTCTGGCTGAGCAAAGCAGAACCAGGAAGGAAATTCCACGGCAATTCCTCTTCCCAGGGCATCAGCAGGCTGAGGGTTCAGACATCTGTCAGTCTTGCCTCTTCCCTACTTCCTGGTCCACCAGGCGAGTCCTCTCTGAGTCTCAGCTTCTCTATCGGGTAAATGCCTGGTTACAACAGCCCTTCTTCAAATCTCGTGTTTGAGGGTGTCATTCGGTTTGATGTCTATTCCTAATGTTTCTTAGTAAGGGACGTAGCCTTTTAATTGTCCTTTTCTTTAAAAATAAAAACGTCAAATCAGGAATTCAAGCTTGTAGCCAGTGAACTTCCCACCCCTGA